TTGTAACACTTTACAATAAGGTTCCATTTGTCAACATTAGTTAACTACGGTTACACTTTATTTTAAGGTGTCCTTGTTAGAGTATAATTATACATTTATGTACTGAGTAATATTAATTAACTACATGTACTTACTATATGTTTAGGGTTAGGATTAGGTTTGGCTTAGGGTTACTTGCATGTAACTATGCATCATTTATTGTAATTAGAATAGTAAGTACATGTAATGTGTAACAAGGACACCTTAAAATAAAATGTTACCTTAACTACATTAATAGAGCATTAATCAGTCTTAGTTAATGTAAAGCTCAATATTTATTAATACATTATTAAAATCAAAAGTTGTATCTGTCAATATTTAACTGACCTGAGTTAACTTGAAATAACAATGAACAGGATTTTTATTAACTAACATTGACAAAGCTGAATAGATGATGCTAGTTAATTAACTAATTGTAAAGTGTTAGCAATTTGATTTTGCAGTATGACTGTAAGGACTTCACTCTGAATTATATATTAAGTTTAATTGTACCTTACCATACAATTAAGCCATAGCACCGTTTTTATTTTATTTCCATATATCACGCAGCCCTACTATTAGTGCTTTGCTGTTTATGTATTTGCTGATAGACATAGATGTGTTTGCATTTTCAGAAACTGGTTCAGAACACGGCAAATCTTTGTTCCACTTCCTGACCAAAATAAAGTCTTTACCTTCTCTGAAAGCTCAGAATGACATGATCATGTGGAACCTACAGGTATGAAGGTGATCTGATGTGTATTTGATTGTTTAATTCATTGATTTGATATTTAAGAGCTATGTGTCTCTCCTGCAAGATGTTTGAGGTGGTGAAGTGTCTTCGAGAGAAATCCGGTCCTGTAGCTTCATTTTCTGTGGATCACAGCATGTTGGAGGAGGTAATGGCACAGATTCAAACACAGAGGGTCTCAGTCGCAATGCTTCCATGACGTTGAGGTGTTTAAAGAGTGTCGTCTCTGCTCAGAGTGTGCAGGATAAAGAGAAGGCCGAGCGCAAGAGGAAAGCTGAAGCTGCTAAAGCCCACAGACAGAAGATCATGGCTCAGATGTCGGCCATGCAGAAGAACTTCATAGAGTCCAACAAGATGCTTTATGACAACGTGCCTGAGAGCTCGAGTCAGAGCGACACCGCCGCGTCTGTGGACAGGTCACCACTTTCTTTTGTCTTTCTCTCTTTCTTTTGCTGTTTACTATACTTTCTGTCTGTGACTTTTTATTTTAATTTTTTTGTTCTTTCAGTCTTTCTCTCTTGCTTTTGATTTCTTTCACTTTCTCTTATACTTACACTTTCACTTTGCACTGCTTTTCCTTTTTTTGTGCTTTCACTTATTTTTGCATTTATTAATTATTGCACTTTTACTGTTATTATTTTTTATGTTCTATTATATAATTTAGTTCTTATTTATCTTTATTCTCGTTTCTTTGTTCTTTGCGCCATTCATTTTCTTTCATTTTTCCCTTTTTGTTCTTTCATTTGTCCCATTTGCCAGTTTCTTTCACTTTCTTTTATTTTAATATTTTGCTTTATTTTACTTTTAGCCTTTTAATTGATGTGGTCTTTCTTTCTTTCTTTCTTTCTTTTGCTTCTTATCTTCACTCCATTGCCTGTTCTTTATTTGTTTACCAATGTTTTCATTTGTTTCAATTCATTTCACTTTCTCTTACTTTCTTTTGCTTTCACTTTTTTTTAGAATATATAAATACTGATAAATACATTTAGACCACTTAACTGAATGATTGCTATCGGGATGTGAAGAGACTTTCAACCAGCATAACAAAAAAAAAATTCTGAAGACAATCACCTATTGCAACTTTAACTATATCGTGATATATATTTATGTATTTATTTATTTGTTACCGAGAAATAAAATTACTCGTATCATGATATAAGCTTTTGGTCATATCGCCCACCCCTATTCTGGTCCTATATCAAAGAATAAAAGTATATATATATATATATATATATATATAGACAGACAGACAGACTAAATCCAGAAGAACTGTGGCAATGTCTGCAAAGCTATAGTACTGTGAAAAGTTTTTGCCACTTGTGTAAAACTGCTGTAATGTGAGGATACTTTAAAAATAATTCAACTTCTTATCAGTCAACTTCTAACTAAATCAAAACTATATTTGGTGTGACCATCGTTTGCGTATAAAACAGCTTTTTCCCTAGGTGCACTTGCCCATAGTTTTTCAGGTAGCTTTGCAGGTAGGCTTCTTGAAACATTTTGGAGACGTTGCCACAGTTCTTCTGGATTTAGTCTGTCTCAGTTTGTTCTGTTTCTTCATGTCATTCCAGACAGACTGGATGATGATGAGATCAGATCTCTGTGTGCAGCACTGGCTGACTCCTTGTGGAAACAAAAATCTCACTGGATTATTACAATTAATTTCAAAATAAATGTTTGGAAATGTTTACTGATATTTCCTACTGACACACTACAGCAAAAACTAGAAATAACTGACTTAAAATCATTTTTTTGTTGTTGGTCAACATACTTGTGCACAGTACTGTATGTGTGTATACAGTATATTGCTTGTTTTAACCTTCATTTTATTTCTAAATATGATGTAAAATCTGTCTGTGATCAGGCCGAAGTTCTCTCGCAGTATCACAGAGATGTTGGGGGTCTGTGCGACCACAGTGCATAGGGTGGGACTACAGACCGCTCCCAATGACCTGTGCCCGTACATGCCTGTCATGTCCTGGAACACGTGTGCCTACACCATCCAGGCCATCGGTAATGATCTCCTCCTTTGACTTGCTCACTTGAGGTATTTGTCAGACAGTTGTATGTAGAGCACTTTAAAATTGTGGATATGTACACACAGTCAGTGTTGGGAAGCATCACCCATATTTACTAACAGGTGTCCCTCTCAAATTGTCCTATGTAGCATAATTCATGTGAACGGTATTTTGGCGCTGTCTGAACGTAGCCAGTCTTGTAATTTTGTCATGTGCCGCCTCATTTGATTTCTCTCTCTCTTTAGAGAATATGTTACAAGAAGAAGGGAAGCCTCTTTTTGGATCCCTCCAGAACAGACAGGTTCTCTACTGATATAGATTATACTGATATAGATATACCATTTAATGTGGGATTGATTTCTAAATTGATTTTCTTCTTCAGCTGTCTGGACTCAAAGCGTTAGTGCAGTTTTCAGCTGCTCAGAGGCTGAAGAGCAGTCAAGCTGTCGTACAGAAGCATTTTGCTGATATGTTAGCAGGTATGTCATGTTTAGGAGAGGATGGATATGTTTGTTTGTTTTGTTCATGCAGCAATTCTCTCAATTCTCTGTCTCTTTCTAGTCCTGGTACCTGTTCCTAATGTAGAAAACACACCATCAATATTAGAAGTGGACTTCTTTCATCTACTGGTGAGTGTCTTTCTTTTTACTGGGCATTATAAAAATAAAAGATGTGATTTTATATACATATGCTTATATCATAATTTAGCTAGTAAATCCCAAAAAGTTTAACGTAACATTTATTTAACAATAATGTGTACACATTCCGACACGTTGCGCCAGAACGGCTCATATATATATCATTACACATATATAGAGGGTGTATATATATATATATATACAGTGGGTACGGAAAGTATTCAGAACCCCGGAGAGTAAAAATATTTTTAAAACGTACACCGTTCAAACTAGGCTGCTTATGTTGAAGTGTTTGGGATGTGGCTTTTAATGATGAGACCTTTTTTGTAATCAGGCTCTCAAAAAGTATATAACAATTTGGATATAGAGTTATCGGCCAACATATCGGTTATCGGCTTTCAAAAATAAAGAATAATCGGTTATCGGTATCGGCCAAAATTTTCATATCGGTGCATCCCTAAAAAAAATTTACTTAAACGATTTTAGCAAATGGCTGCAATATAACAGAGTGAAAAATTTAAGGGGGTCTGAATGCTTTCCGTACCCACTTTATATGTGTATACATATATATATGTATATGTATGTATATATCAGGGGCGTTTCCTCCAAGGAGGCAAGGGAGGCAGTGTCTCCTCTCCTCAAAATTGCATGAGAAAATAATCGATATTACAAAAATAAAACCGCGCAAATATGACTAAATATGATATTAAAAGTCTAAAAATCGCTCGTTTTTATAAAGTAACACTGTCCAGCAGCGACACCCACAGCTAAAGTTACAGCGGAGGCTTGCCTCCCTTTGGTCCATTGACTTTCTACAGAGACCCCTTAGCGTGCCTTTTCTGGAGGCTCATTGAAATGAATGGGGGGAAATCATGTGAGAGGAGGCAATGCCTCCATCGTGCTATAATTGGATATGATCGGATGTGATTGGTTCGTGTGATAAATCTTGTTTTCGTGCGAGCTCTCGGCTTGAATGAAGAAAATGATGGCGTTATTGAGTAATTATAAAGTAAACAACTCTCCTGCTTAGATATCACTGTTTTGTGTCATGTCAAAATGAAACATGAAATGGCTTGAAAACGTGATGACTGTCAGTTTTTAGTGAGCATTCAGCTTGATGAAATGAAAGATGTAGCCTATCTTCTTGCCTGTGACAATGTTTGTGACAGGGCTTTTATGACGATGACCCGAAAATAAGTTGACTATTAAAAAGAACAGCTGAACATAAGTTCACAAATAAAAAAACGGAGTGTCTATTTACAAGTGCAAATAGGCCGCCTTGTTGGCAGAGGTTATTTACACTAACTCCGCCCAGCAACGTGTGATTACAAAGCATTACAGAAGACTGTCTTTCAACAACCACTCTAGTGGCGCAGATGGTGAAGTACGTGTTAAGTCATTTTTGACGCGATCGACCGGGGACCTTTTTTTTCCTACCATTTCAAATCAGATATCACATTGGAAAGGCATGTATTTTCAATAATAATGAAGGAAATAATCGAAAAGTTGAACTTAATCTATTGGATAGTGTTAGTAAGTGTAGGGAGGAATTTATTGCCCCATAAGGTGACATCCATTTAATAATTTGAATTAAAATGATCATTTACACTCAATGTTATTAATGCATACCGTTTTATAATGTACTACAATACTGAGGTGCAGATAATTGCCACTATTTGCAATAAGTAGTATAAATAGCAGAAAATCCTGCTAACGTTAAGTGTACATAGAATCTATAGCTATTTGCACTTAGTGTAAGCTTTTGAAAAACCTAGAAATATTAAGAATTTAAAAAAATTACAATTCTGGACCATGGGCATTAATCAAATCTGAAAGTGAAATAATTTTGAAAACCTTATCCCATGATCACAAACAAGTAGAAAAGTTATATAAATGCATTACAGAACCTTGAAGAAAATTCAGTTCTTGAATCTGAAACTACAGAATTTAGTAGTTTTGATTTAAATAAAATGTATATAATTTTAAAGTATTATAATTGTGTGATTTAATGATTAATTGTTATATATATATATATATATATATATATAAGTAAAAAAATCTAAATATAAGCATCTGCTAAATAAATAAAATGCTAAATGAATGCAAGACATATAAATATAGACATAATTTATAAATCACATAAATTATTTTTGCCTGGCACATGATAAAACAAAAAAGGCTCATAGACTTTTATCTAAGTAGCCTCCGGAATGGCCCTTTTGTATATTTAGCGAATTATTATTATTTTTAAATAAATGAAGAGTTCAGATGCAAAAGCCTCTAAGTGCCATCTGAAATTTTCATCTAAAATGACAATTTTTATCAGGCTCCTATATTTATGTTCAGTTCTTTCACTTTAATGGCATAGAAAAGGACCTATAAATTGCCATCTGAAATTTTCATCTAAAATGACAATTTTTATCAGGCTCCTATATTTATGTTCAGTTCTTTCACTTTAATGGCATAGAAAAGGACCTATAAATTGCCATTAAAGCAAAATTACTGAACCTAAACATAGAAGTCTGATAAAAATGTGAAAGAAAATTTCAGATGGCACTTAGAGGCTTTTGCATCTGAACTCTTCAAATGTAAATGGCAACCTAGCATTATAGTTGTGACTTGTGCATGACCGAACGCCACTAACAATTTCCCCCGAAAATGTAAAAAACTTTACAAATAAATCTGTCTTCAAACAATCTTTTTTAATGCACTTAGTTTCAAGCAATTGTTTTCAAGCATCTAGTTAAGTCAGAAGAAAGTGATTGAAGACTTGTAATCATTTGTGGGACTGTGTGTGTGATGTTCTGCTCAGGTGGGGCTGGTTCTGTCCATCCCAGCATTGTATCAGGAAGAGGCTGTAGACCTGCAGCCTTCAGCAGTCAGCACAGCGTACAATCACCTCTACCTGCTGCACCTGCTCACTATGACACACATGCTGCAGGTCCTGCTGGCCTCACACGGTAAACACACACACTGCCAGAGTCCGATGCAAACACTAAAGTATAACATTTTTATGCACAGCACTTATTTTCAATAATATTGTGTGTAGATTGTGCTGTAATAGGAGGGCTGGGGGAGGGCGATGAGGCCCAGGCTGCAGCCGAACTCTTCTCTATTGTGTCTCAACACACAGACAGGTGAGTTTAAATGCATGTCACATAAGGAAAGGCTCCCAGTTTTTCTCTTGCGGTCTCTCATCGTCTCTCTCTTTCTCAGGTTAAGGGCTGGTGTGACTGGTTTCTGTGTAGAGGGTGTAAAGAGAGGTGTGCTTCCCTTCCTGCGCTGTGCTGCACTGTTCTTTAATTGCCTTACAGGAGTGCCCCCTCCAGAGGAGCTGTCCGGTACTGCAGGTCACTACACTTCATATGTTGTGTTTAAAAATGCCACACTGCTATGACATGAAAACGTTTGAATAAATAGATGGTTGTAGGTTCAAATGACTAATAATGACTATATCACCAAGGCTGTATAATGCCAAGTAAATGTGTATTTAATGTGTATGTGTATTGTACACATAGCAACGCTGCAGAGTACTGTATGCGTATAAATCTAACAGTTATTAACCATAATTATTCTTCTATGCAGAATCACCTGAAAGTCAGCTGCATCTGTTGTGTAGTTACCTCTCTTTGCCCTCCAACCTGTTTCAACTGTTTCAGGACCACAGGGATGTTGTAACCACCTTAATTAAGAGGTACAAATCAGATGCGCACAAACTCAAAAAACATTTCTTATATTAATGCGCCATGACTAAATATCTACAGTATCAGCTGCAATTGTGCTAATGAACTTGATTACCTGATATAATTATAATACTAGTAATAAACAAAACAAATAAATAATAAACTAAACAGTAACAGTATTGTTGTTGCTGTTTTGTTGTTTATTAACAACATTATTTTCATTATATTATTGTTGCTGCTGTGTAAATGTTCTTGTTTAGTTGTTACTAATAATAAGGATTATTATAATCATTAATCATTCTAATTACTATTTAAGATCAATATTATATTGTTTATTATATTTATAACTATTATATTATAATAACAATGTTAAAACAACTATTATTAATATGTAGTAGGGGTGCAATGGTTCTCGGTAGAAAATCGAACTGTACCGTTCTCCACACACGGTTCGGCATGCACTAGGACCGCAGTTCAACTTAAATCTGACAATGCATCTGTAATATGGTTTGTTAGAGTTCGCCTAATGCATGTTTCTGTTAATGGATACAAATTCTGGCTTCGCAATACATTACAACAAGAGCGATGAGAGAGAAAAAAACAACTATACTTGGACAAACCAGTCACTCTTTGTTCAATGCGAGTGCTGTATGCTGGAATAACTGTCCTTTATACCGTCATCACGTGTTGATAACGCAGGTGAGACCTGAACAGCACACGTCGCTATCTGTGTTTAAACTAAACACTAAACTCATTTAAGCCTTGCCAGTTTAAATATTAAAGAGCCAGAAGACGTGACCCCGCATCTCAGATGCGCAAATATGAAGCTCTCTTCTAAGTATTGTGCTTGAATGGACAAATTCACACAAAAATTGTGTCGAAATACCCGTCTTGGTAAGTATCCTAGCAGACATAGTTGGCTGAACGTACACTATCAGTGTTCTCTTAAAGTGACAGCACTTTCTTAATGTTAATCAAACGGCAACAACACGGAAATCTCTCACTGCTCTTGATTGAATAACTTTTGTAACTTTAATAAAGATTAATCTTTAATTTATACAGTCAAATATGCAATGTTATTTTACATTTGATTACTTTATTCAATTTCTGTACCTAAAAACTAATGTTAGACCTACCTAAAAAAACATGAAAAGCACTGTTTAATTTATTTGTATCTTTGCTCTGTTGTATTTATTTGTGCTGTTGCTTGTAGTTAGATTATTTGTTCTTATTTTCTTTATTTTTATTTGACAATATAGTTTTTTCCCTAAACATAGCACATACCATACCAAACTGTACCGTACCGAAACCGTGACTCTAAAACCGTGATACAAACCGAACCGTGAGTTGTTTATTTATTTACATTATACTATTTAATATAAATATCATATTATTTACTTTTTTTATCACTATTATATTATAATAACTATTATTAATAATAATTCTTTATTATTATTTTAAAACATTGTTTTGTTTATAAAATAGTAAACAATAATATTTTTAAATTAAACTTAAAAGTGGAATTTATTATGTTATTGTTTAAAAATAATGATCATCCTCATCAGGAAAATTTATTTTTGGTTTTCAAATGTCATAATACGTAATTCACACATCAACAACAACAACAAAAAAAGCTAAAGCCATAGCATATTTTATGTAGAAGGATGATTAAAAAAAAAAAAACAGCTAAAATGTTTTTTTATATGAATCAATTAACAATTATTAATATGTAAATATATTTTCATTAATATTAATATATTTATTATGTCTTATAATATTAAGAACTCCCCTTTATCATTGTCAAATCACTGAATTGTATGGCCTCTCGTGGCTTATTGTTTTGTTTAAGACAGTATATTTCTAAATTCCTTATTCTGTGTAGTATATTTATGTATCTATTCACTTTCCAGTGTTAAGTTTCCACAGTCTGTGATGATTTGGGGTGCAATGTCATCTGCTGGTGTTGGTCCATTGTGTTTTTTGCTGACCAGCTTTTTGAAGATGCTACTTTCATTTTCCAGCGGGATTTGGCACCTGCCCACACTGCCAAAATCACCAAAAGTTGGTTAAATGACCATGGTGTTCGTGTGCTTGACTGGCCAGCTGAACCAGTCAAGAGAGAGAATCTATGGGGTATTGTCAAGAGGAAAATGAGAAACAAGAGACCAAAAAATGCAGATGAGCTGAAGGCCACTGTCAAAGAAACCTGGGCATCCATACCACCTCAGCAGTGCTACAAACTGATCACCTCCATGCCACGCCGAATTGAGGCACTAATTAAAGCAAAAGGAGCCCCTACCAAGTATTGAGTACATGTACAGTAAATGAACATACTTTCCAGAAGGCCAACAATTCACTAAAAATGTTTTTTTTATTGGTCTTATGAAGTATTCTAATTTGTTGAGATAGTGAATTGGTGGGTTTTTGTTAAATGTGAACCAAAATCATCACAATTAAAAGAACCAAAGACTTAAACTACTTCAGTCTGTGTGCATTGAATTTATTTAATACACAAGTTTCACAATTTGAGGTGAATTACTGAAATAAATGAACTTTTCCACGACATTCTAATTTATTGAGATGCACCTGTAAGCATTGCTGTGTTTCTGTGTGTCAGGTGGTGTGAGAATGCAGCCATATCCAAAGCCCTCAAAGGTGAAATGCAAATCATCAGGTTAGACGCCACTTAAATTCTCCTCTGTTTGATTGTATACTCACTTCCTTTTTATTAAAAACAATAATTTAACAGAATTTCCCACCTGGTGTTCAGGTACCCTCATAAGAAAAACAGGCTAATAGATCTTCCAGAGGACTATAGTGTGTTGCTCAATCAAGCTAGTCACTTTAAGTAAGTACTGTTAATACAAGATTGCCTATAATGTCCATTGTGTGAATTGAATATTTTGTGCAGATTAATCGGATGTTTCCTGTGACTTCCTCTCTTCACCCATAGATGCCCAAACTCATCAGATGACGAGCGAAAGCACCCGACTCTGTGTCTTCTGTGTGGGGTCATGCTGTGTGCGCAGAGCCCCTGCTGTCAGGAGCAGCTGAACGGGGAGGATGTAGGCGCGTGCACGGCTCACGCTGCAATCTGTGGGGCTGGAGTGGGAATGTTTCTCAGGTGTGAGGAAGACAAGAGAAAACATTTATTCTGTGAATATATCTGAAATCACATATATGTTAGTATGTTCGAATTCACAGTATTCATAAAACAGTTGACAAAAAGTAGCCGGATCACCTACTAGTGCGGTCAGTATTGTCACATGACAATGACAATGTCATACATTGCATTTATACTATATAGAACATACTTTTTTAGCAGTGGTGACGTGATTACTTATTCAAATGAAGTATTTACTCAGTAAGCCATTTCAGATGCAGCCAGTGTGCATCTTATTCTACAAAAGAAAATGTAAATGATGTAAATAAAGAAATACAAATAACTGTTGATAATAACGATCTTGTTTGTGTCTTTCTGAACAGGGTTCGAGAGTGTGAGATCATCTTGATGGCCAGTAAGACACGGGGCAGTCCCTATCCAGCACCTTACCTTGACGACTATGGAGAAACAGACCCTCAGCTTGGGTAAAGTTCATTGTTGTAAAATTTTTACACCAGCTCCTTGCAATAGAGTTTGGAACACATTTTGGATTCATTTAACAGTGTTGGGAAAAGTTACTTCTAGGGCTGGGTTTTGACACAAATTTCACAATTCGATTCGATTCTCATTCACAAGCTTGCAATTCGATTCCCGATTCGATTCAATATTGATTATTTTGGATATATATCTGGTACACATACAACATTTTCTCAAGGAAAAAGAAATCTCTTAACTAATGCTGTAAAATATACATGAGAGTCAGTTTGTACTACATTACTATAGTATTAAAGGTTAAAACTGACTGAATTGTTAGGCTATACAACTGCTTAAATTACATAATGAAGTTTTTATAATAAAAGTTACAATTACATAATATTTCTACTTCAATTCGTTTTCCTTGCAATAGAGTTTGGAACACATTTTGGATTCATTTAACAGTGTTGGGAAAAGTTACTTCTAGGGCTGGGTTTTGACACAAATTTCACGATTCAATTCTCATTCACAAGCTTGAGATTCGATTCAATATCGATTATTTTGGATATGTATCAGGTAGGCTACAGTACATGCCAAATTTTCTCAAGGAAAAAAAAATCTCAACTAATGCTGTAAAATATACATGAGAGTCAGTTTGTACTACATTACTATAGTATTAAAGGTTAAAACTGACTGAATTGTTAGGCTATACAACTGCTTAAATTACATAATGAAGTTTTTATAAAAGTAATAAAAGTTACAATTACATAATATTTCTACTTCAATTCGTTTTTTTAAATATAAACATTTAAATGGTGGCTATAATAAAAAAATATAAATTCAACTTTGAAGAATATTAAAAGTTATAGTGAATATATTATATGGTACATATATTTAGCAAAATGCTCCTCTCTACAGTTTATTTTTCTAGTTGACTAATGACTTTATGGTCACGAATATGTTTTTTCTGAGGTAAGATAAATGTGACGTTACGTGACATTGTTTACAAGCCGATATATTGACGTCTTTGCGCGGCTGAAACACTGATTAAAGGATTACATGAGACAGGATACGGATTGTAAAGTTGTACTCTTTCTGTTAACTTCCCTTCGGATGTTTAGTCATGTTTATTTTGTGCTGAAATTAGTATTAATGTGGAGGAGGTGATCAGTTCACGTGCGCCTCGCGCTGCTGCTTTTATTGAACTGAGGCGTGCCACGCTACAGCGATCACTCCACAAAACCACGCCAAAACGGCATTTATTGTTTGAATACTGCAATACAATGGACAGAATTTGAAATCTGAGACTTTTTCATATTAAAAGTACCAAAGCACAATGCTTATTGCAATTTATTGGATGGGAGGTGCACTTCAATGTTCCGTCCATTAACTGAAAACAGGCTAGATTAATCGATTATTGGGATTTAAGAATCAATATCGTTTCGTAAAACTGAGAATCGATTATTATCGACATATCGATATTTTTTACCCAGCCCTAGTTACTTATAAAAGTAATGCACCCAAAATATTGCCTTACTCCATGAAAAAGTAACTAATTGTGTTACTTTTTATGCTAAGTAATTGTTACTTTTATGTTACTTTCTGTCACCTGCTGGGCTTGCTTATTTGTGTTTTAATAACCCAAAAACCCAGAGGTTTTATTTTTGGCAGCTGTATCCTTCAGAAATCATTCTGATATGCTGATTTGGTATTCAAGCAACATTTCTTATTATTATCAACATTGGAAACAGTTGTGCTGCTTATTATTTTTGTAGAAACTGTCATACATTTTTTCAGGATTCTTTGATGAATAGAATGTTCATTATAAAGGTTTTTACTGTCACTTTTGATCAGTTTAATGGGCCTTGCTGATTAAGTACTCATTTCCATAAAAAAAGGAAAAGAAAAGTATTTTTAAATGGTATTATTAGTTGATTAAAAAATTGTCTTGATTTAGTGAGAAGTCTGTGGGTAACCAGTGTCATTGAGATACTGTAAGTTTTGTTCATATTCTGAATTTATTATTTTTATATTTTCAGTTTTCATATTAATTTTAGTCATGTTTTAGTCATTTTTAGCAGTTTTTGTGTTTAGTTTTACGTAACTATAATAACACTGTGTGAAGCAATTATAGATTTTATACTGAATTTACTTTTATTATTGCATTTTCTTGAAATTTATTGTATTAAATTTAGTGCTGGGCAACAATTAATTAAAAAGTTTTATTTTATATATATTGTATGTGTGTGTGCTGTGTATATTTATTTTGTATATATATATATAAAGACACACACATACAGTATATATTATGAACATATGTACATGTATATATTTATATTCATATAAGTTATATTATATATAAATATATTTAATATATAAACATAACATATTTTTCTTAAATATATACGTGTGTGTGTATATATTTATATATACATAATAAATGTACACAGTACACACACATATATGTGACCCTGGACCACAAAACCAGTCTTAAGTCGCTTGGGTATATTTTTAGCAATAGACAAAATCAATTGTATGGGTCAAAATTATCGGTTTTTCTTTTATGGTTATGATTTAAAGATCATGTTCCATGAAGATATTTTATACATTTCCTACCGTAAATATATCAAAACTTAATTTTTGAGTAGTAATACGCATTGCTAAGAACTTTAATTTGAACAACTTGGCAGGCGATTTTCTCAGTATTTAGATTTTTTTGCACCCTCAGATTCCAGATTTTCAAATAGTTGTATCTCAGCCAAATATTGTCCAATCCTAACAAACCATACATCAATGGAAAGCTTATTTATTCTTATTTAAGCTTATTTATATACTTTCAGATGATGAATACATCTCAGTTTCGAGAAATTGACCCTTATTATGGTTTTGTGGTCCAGGGTCGCATATTATGTAAACAAAAATGCTTATTTTGGATGCGATTAATCGTTGCCCCGCACTAATTCCGTATTAATCTACTTGCAACAATGGCTGGTTTGTCAAAATTACCGTTCCTCTGATTGGGTGGGTGAGGGAATCATAATTCACATCCAAAACATAAAGATATTAAATATAATCAAAATGCTGAAAATGTAATTCTGATGTGAACACTGTATCATCATCAAGCATGTGCTTTATCAGTTTATTCTTTATAGCTGTATTTGTTTGTGCTTTGCTAGGCGTGGGAACCCGCTGCACTTGTGTCCAGAGCGCTACCGCAAGTTGTTTCATATGTGGCAGCAGCACTGCGTCCTGGAGGAAATCGCCCGCAGTCTGGAGCTCCTCAACGTCATGTTCCCCTTTGAGTGGCAGATGCTTTGAGCTCCGAGACTGCCAGAGGAAGTGCACAACGCAAGACACGCTGACTGCAAGGAGTAATAAACTCCCTCGCTTCTCTACCTGCTGCTGTCCGTGTTTTCCAGCAGCCCAGTGCATTATGGGTAGTCACACTAAACAGACCCATAGAAGATATTAAAGAAGTGAATGTGTTCTCTGGGCTCTTTATTTATCTAGCTTGGGTTGCAGATCTACACTCGTTTTAGCACTGCAGCTTTTTCTTTTTGCGCATTGTGGTGTTTTTGCATTTGTTTTCAGGGTGTAAAGATTTATTGCAGGTCTTGTGTCTCTACAAACCACATTAACCTATATGAAATGCTAGGCCTCTCACCCTGCTACAGCCTTTTTGCTCTTTTTTTTTCATCTGTGTGAGAAATGTATTCATGTGAATATAATATATCTATGTACTACTTTACTTTATTATGTAAAGCTGCCCTCAACGTAAAGTATATTCAGTGTTACGGAGTAAAAAGCTGTTTTTCAAATTATACTACTTCACATGCTACGCCTAAAAAAATGTCATATTTTTCATAAAAATACAGTTTTTCATTAAAGCAGCACTATGTAACTTTTTCTGTGTTCAGAATTTGCTAAATGTATATAATGAGCGAGTACATCATGAATTCATCTTCCAAGCTGCGTTTTTGTCTTATTCCGAATCACTACGGTACACTTATAAGTACTTATATTTGGACTATTGTAGCCTGGTCGGGTCGTCACCGCTGCAGAGTAACACATACATGCCTGAATCGCCATAGACATAAACTTAGAGAAGTAGCTCCGGTTGGAATGTTCTTCTGTGGGATGTGTGCAGTTCTGTTACATAGTGCTGCTTTAACGTTTTATGTTTTCTTTTAAAATTCTCATTATTATTATTATTATTACAGTAAAATTACTATATACTTTCTAAAATTAAATCAGCATGAAAGCCAAAAAGACAACAAACATAACATAAAAAAATTTAAATTAATATTTTTTTCTTAGTGACAATGAGATTTGTTGCAGTAATGAATTTGGGGGGGAAATAATCTTGATGCAAATTATGTTAATATTTCTAATAATAGGCATCATTTAAGTCACGCTAATTTTCATATTTCTTTTGATTTTGGGGTGAAATATGACCCAAGCATATTCTTGACAGGTTTCATGAGATTCACGCATGCTATGGATGTCATATGAACATGTAAATAAACAATAATGTATAATTAGATGATGCTATTTTACTATAAGAACACAGCTGTTATTTAAATTAAGAAACAAAATATCATTCACATAATCACATGCAACAATGTAAATTCAAGTGTATTCCACTTATCAATATATACTAAATCAAACACAAGTGCTTTACCTGAGCGTCAGTCAAAGTCCAGATTTTTTAATTTTTCCCCCACTCATGATCTGGTTCATGTAAGAGCTTTTAATTTGCACTTAACTGAAATAAACTACTGAGTCTCATCACTATTCGGATGGATCTCTTTCACCTCACATTCTGTCAAATCTCTGTATTCATCAATTATCTGTACTTGATTATTTATTCAGGTTGAAATGATTTAAATTATTTCCTAACTATGATTGATGGGTGTTTCTGTTAGATATTAAAAACACAAACAAGAAATGCTTCTCTTGTGTGCATGTTTTGAGATTCATAGACATCAGTGCAACATTGATAATATGCAGATCAGCATATTAGAATGATTTCAGGTGGGTCATGTGACAATGAAGACCGGCGTAATGACTGCTGAATATTCACATATGTATTCATATAATTGTTATCTTATGTTGTTTTTTTGTTTTTAAAAAACCCACTTTAACTAGTAAACTTTTGTATAATGCAATATAACACTTGATCAGCACCCATTTCTATAATGCATTATACTTTTTAAAGCTGTAACCATGAATAGGTATTACAACTGATAAATATAATGCATTACATATAATGCACGTGTATAATAAGGCACTGATGTACCTTTACATTGCATTCTGTATACATACATGCTTCAAATACAGTTACCACAACAAAACTTAAATCAGTTTGTTCCTTTAGGATAGGTTTTCATCTGGCTTTACTTATAATAATTAATAAATAAAGTTTATTTATTGGCATATGGTTCCATAAAGAACCTTCGACATCCAAGGAACCTTTCAATGGTCCTTTATTGTCCTTTAAATGTTCTTTAGATTATTAAAGTATTCTTCACACTAAGAAATAACCGGTTCTTTCAAGAACTTTTCATTGAAATGTTCTTTGAGGAACGCAAAATCACTGTGAAAACCTCGCTTTGGAACAGTTGTTTTTCACAGTAAAGGAGAGAGCATATAATTCAATAATGCAAGTGATTCAATTAACTTCAGTACCCTTGAAACCAACTCTTAAAACTCTTTAATAATGTATTGATTAAATGTACATGTTGCATTTATTGTCATTACATATCCATGATATATTTTAGACATGGATGTGCTTTGTAAAAAAAAAAAAAATGTTTATGAAATATACATCTTTGGAAAATGTGTTTTAGAGGCTGTTGGTATCATGTTTTCACCAGTGATTACAATACCTGGCTTTAGGCACGAGACCAAGGCATAAAATAAGAATTTTTGGTGGCTTGTAATGGGTAAGCTGACAGTTTGATTTCATGGAAATAGAAATATTGAAAGAGAGAGAGAGCATGTACTACTGTATGTAGTTTTGTGTATTTTTGCGATTTTGGACCCCTCTACAGTTCAATGTCGTAAATATAGGCTCTCACGGTCGTAACTGCAGTGAAAACCTGCAGACACGTGCATTTTTTTTCACCCCTTAAAGCAAATCCCTTTTAACTTACACACTGTCAGAAGAGACGTTTTGGAGGATATAGGAAAGAAACAGAAGCTATTCGCCTTATTAGAAGTCAGTGCAGCCTACATCAGAATGATTTTGGAACTAAAAAAAAAATCACATACAGTTGCTTTAATTACTAATGAAAACCCTACAGTAAACAGTGAAGCTCTAAATAAATCCAGTGATAGGTAGCAGACCTACTCTCCAGTAATCACATAATTCACACAAGAATCTCTAAAACACAAAATAATTTAACGGTTGTATTCTTAATGAGAGGCAATTTATACATTTTAATAACTCTGAAGGCCCCATGATGCTTTGCCTTGTGTGTTAAAACAGTAGACTACTTGGTTAAGTTCTTACATGTTAATTTACAACAGACCTCAAGTATGTTGTGTGTTGTAATATCACTCTGTTCTTGTTTTGCAATGCCATCTCAATTTTTACTGAACCGTTAAGCTTAAGTAATGTTTCTGGCCAAAATGTGCATTCTGAAGACCTAACTGGCCATTGGAAGAGACTTTGGAGGCACATTGTCTGGACCATAGTGTGCTGTAGTTGGTTTGTCAATGTTTGGATCTCCATTGCTTGATATGTTGATCTGATTGAACTTGCCCAGGTGTTTGATGATGTTGAAATTAGAGCGAGCCGTCTCCACAAAGCTGTTCTCCAGGAGCCACCCGTCTGACTCACACTCAGGGTCCCCCTGCCGCAGCACGTTTTCCAGAGACGTTTGGAGGTAACGGACCCCCGTTAACACAGAGAGCTGTCAGAGAAGAAAATTATGCCTTATTCATGAGGTAGTTTTCGCCGATAGCAAACAAATTTGGACCAGACAATTCTTACTGAAGCTTCACGTCATCCTTTGTAAAACAGTCATGTGCTTTACTTAGGACGCTGAAGGATTGGAGTGACTGGTGCATAGAGCAGATTATAAAGTGAATGTACAATCGGATTAGGTCACGCAACCAGAGCACATTTTTATAAAGATAGTGAGTTGCCCCTTGCTTTTTATTAGTGTAGAGTTTCATAGCACAATTGTTAAAACAATGTTTCAGACAAAATTGGGTCAGTATATTTTTTCTCTGCCAGCAAAAGAACAAAAAATGCTAATTGTAGCAAGTCTTTGAGCATTGTCAAGCAACTGTAAATGGTTCTGATACATATTTCTGTCATGACAACTCTCGGAGGGATTTGTAATGTACATGACAATGTTAATGTATTTGGTCTTGCCGGAATAGATAGATCTCCTGCAGCAGAGCAAGTACCGAGACTTGCTACTGCCAATACATCCACAACATGCTGCTGTGAGCATGTAAGAATATTGCTGCTGCAAATATAACATACATGAAATAACCCCCGTATAGCATACATGAATTACCTCGTAGCAGATCTATACAGGTGGAGCTGGGGAAGGTGGAGGGTTTCTGAAGCAAGCTGCAACTGCTACAGCTACAGCAAGCACTAGTCATATATTTGAATGTGGAGCAGCGAGCTTATTGGCTACCGATACAGGAGAGAACCAATCAGCTGTGCCATGTGATAATGATGTCATTAGGTCAGATTTAGTTAGACCTATCGGACTGCACCATCTAGAGTTTCATGCCAGAACTCTATATTTAAACAAACCGACCATTCTATAATCATTCTACTTGGATCTGTTGATGTTCTAGAACTGTGTTTCAATGGCAAGGCTATTAACAGCTAAATTAATTTGTGTAATTTCCGTAATGAATATACATTTTATGTCTTTAGTTTATTTTCAGCGATTATTATTAAGACATTAACAGTAGCCAATTATAGGAATTATTAAACTTAAATATTCCAAAGTAACTGCTTAACTACAATTGATCGCTGAAACCACTGTCATTTTAAATCTTTACACAGGTTGGAACTGAGTTTACAAGTTCTATTGGTCAATTCACACCACACCACACCAGACACAGACCAACGGCAACAGCTGACCGAATATAGTATGTGACTCAGATGCTCCAAGACCCGACAAACATTAATTCAACATTTTTAATTGGCGAAAAAAGCAACGACCAATGCCAAGAGATGCTGACAGGGGTAACACATTCATTAGCAAAAATTTGTGTCTGTTGCTGTTTGTCTGCGTCAGTCAGTGCAGTGTGAATTGGCCTTATTAGGACGTAAATACTTTTTGCAAATTGGAAGCATTCCGACATGGCATGAATGCAATTACTGTATAAAAAAAAAGTAGTTTAAATTTTAGGAATAGTTTTTGTTCCACCAAAATACCAGCAACAGTGTGTGAAAACCTTGTGAAGACTTACAGAAGACGTTTGACCTCTGTCATTGCCAACAAAGGGTATATAACAAAGTATTGAGATGAAATTGTTATTGACCAAATACTTATTTTCCACCATAATTTGCAAATAAATTCTTTAAAAATCCTACAATGTGATTTTCTGGATTTTTTTTTTCTCATTTTGTCTCTCATAGTTGAGGTATACCTATGATGAAAATTACAGGCCTCTCATCTTTTTAAGTGGGAGAATTTGCACAATGGTGGCTGACTAAATACTTTTTTTCCCCACTGTAGTTCCAAACGAAGCCAGTTAGAAAGAACCCTGCACCTTCAAATCATTTGAGTGAATAATTCAATGGCTTACTCATAAAGAGGGCCACTTCTATCCACCTACCAGTGCTTTTCAACTGTCAGCATTTGTGGAACACAGCTAAGCCAATCAAATTTGATGAATTAAGGACTGATGTCATGAACAATCCAGATTTTTGTAAAGGCACAGTCATTGTTCAACTAAATTTTTCAGGTGAAGTCTAGTCAATTCCGTTGGAATCTACCTAAACAGGACATCAAGTGGGTGAAAGATTTCGCACACAGATTTCAACAGAAAGCTGCTTTGTTTTTAAAATAACTTATTTGGGAGCAATGCCTGATGCCCACAAAGCTTTGCAGACATATTGCACCTTAATTGTATCGGTACACTCATTCTGTTGCAGTGTGTTAGCATTACTGCCTGCTGTATTCATCTTTTTATGGGTATATATTAAAATGTTATTTATACCTCATTTGTAAGTCGCTTTGGATAAAAGCGTCTGTTAAATGACTAAATGTAAATGTATTTCATATCTGCATATTCGAGGCAAGAAGTATGCTAGTATGCTGAGCAGTTAAGGAACTAATTTACCATTATACATAATATATAATTTAATTTAAGAAATTCATGGTCATATTTACGTGTTTAAGACATCATATAGCATTCATTGAATTTATAGGTTCTCTAAAATGGCAATGAATAGAGTACCCGTTAAAAAAATGTATTGCTAGGTAAAGAAATGGAATTACTAATATGACAACCGAATATGAGAGTACTAAATAGTATTGAATACATATTCAATACTTCCCTATTGCCAAAGCAATAGACACAACCAACCTCAAAGAGCCAGATGATCAGAACCGTGAGGCCGACAGAATGCATGATGTTGGTGTAATAATCTAGTAGAGCCTGACGACATCCTCTCATCCACAGGTTGAGCTCCTCTGTCTGGTAGTCATAATTAAAGTGGGCGGAGTTATTGGTGATTTGGTACTGAATGCATGGCCGAGGAGAGTTGACATTGCAGCAGCTGAAGGGAACTCCGTCCATTAGGTATTTTCCCTCAACGTTGCTTCGCAGACGACTAGTAAGAAAAAATTGCATTTGTAAAATTTTATGAATTCCATTATTATTAATGCAACTATTGGTCATGTTATAACTGTATATATATATTAGGACTCCTCTTAATATTTTAATAGCTATTAACAATTTAAATAACTTTTTTCCAGACCCAACTTACTCTACCACTTCCCGTTGGGACATATCCAAATATCGGTTGCTGACCCACTGGATCTGGAACCAATCTCTGTAGCCCTCGTTCCCACAGCATTGGAACTGGATCTGCAGCTGGTCCACTGTACGCTTCAAGAAGCAGCGGCCTGGTGTGTCTGTGTCCTTATAGTAACGCATAGCATCCCGCAGCCCAAATGTTAGTGCTTCTTCCAGCTGTCCGTGCATGCTGTAGCACATCAAGGCACCCACGAGCACGCTCAGAGTGAAGAAAAACGTGCAAATGATGTATGGTAGCATCACCAACTTCCAGCGTAGGAATTTGTTGGTGTCCACACAGTCATAGCAGATCTTTCCTCCCAAAAAGTTAATCACGCAGGCTATAAGTCCCACGGCAATTAGCATGTTTGGCACGGATTGGAGCTGACTCTCAGCCATTAGATCCTGCCGCTTGTTAATTTCAACTTTTAGAAAGATGCCCAAGCTAAAGAGGATGATACCTGTTACAACGGATATCCAGTTTAGTACCCACAAAACCTGGGCCAGTTTGTCTCTGTTGGTTTTGGTCAATTTTATTGGCAGCACAGCCATCTTACAAATATTTCAGAGAACCTTTGATTTAATTGATCTTGTGGAAGTCTACTGGAGTTCCTAGTACACAAATCAACTAAATTAGTTTTAGATGTAACTCAATGAGGTGTTCAAGGTTCCTACGGAAGATGACATGAATGGACTAATGCTTCTTAGCAATTAGCTTCTTAAGCTAACTTAGTGAGTGTCAATCAATGGAAAGACCTTGAAACACTATCTCCACAAAGTATTCTTGGAGCTTATTCATTTAAGTTGTGAGAAAAACTAGATATCAGTAAAAAAAATAAAAATAAGGAGGGGGGGGGGGGGGGGTCTTATAAAAAGGAGCTTTTGGGCAAATCTAAACCATTTTGGCTCTGTCAAACTGTTTGGAGATGCCATGTGAGGTCCTTTACAAACATTGTAAAACTGAAATTATTTCCATTTTTGCAAATGTACACCTAAAAGGCAAAAAGAGAGGAAAAAGTACTTTTATATATATATTTGGACAATGGGTGGCTATTGAGAAGAACATGATTGCATAAATATGAGTCTGATAAAAATAGAAGGATACATACTCAGTCATGTTAAAAGAAATTAATCCAGCTAATTTAGATCTTTTAGTATGCTACATTGTTAGCGTTTTACCTTTTTTATCATGCAAATATTTTTAGCCATTTAATGTTTCAAAAAAGCTAATAATACTCCTGTTCTGAGAGTGGAAAGCTCAAAATAGCTGATGAATCTAAATAAGTTCACCTGAACAGACAGGCACAGGGCTTGTCCTTAACCAGGCGTGGAGATTGAGATGATCCCAGCATAAGGGTAGTAATAAACAGCTGATTACTCACCCATCCATGCCTATCCATCACTTAATAGCATCCCGCCCTATTCCAAGAGATTTTTCTCTTTCTCTCCATCAGATGCCTTCAGTTTTTGTGAAACAATCTGAATGCATTGTTTGCTGATGAAAACTGATATGTGTATGTGTGTTAGTGTCTGCCGCAGACTCAGCTGTGACCTCTTTCATAATTCCTTCTAATCAGTAAGCAGCCCGGTTGGATTTGGAAGAGTACCTTCTGCCACCAGCACAAATCTCACTGACTGGGATGTGTGTGTGTGTGTGTGTGTGTTAGTTAGAGAATGAAGAAGGGGAAAGAGCTACTAAGAGTCACATAGTTTAATTGTTGTATCATTATTGTGTTAAATTACACATTTAGATTAATTTTTAACGAGCCAAAAAGAACGCACATCACACCTCTGTTCATCAATTTGCACTGGCTACAAATAGCTTCTCGCATAAAATTCAAGGCATTAATGTTTGCCTACAAAACCACCACTGGCTCTGCACCCCTTTACCTAAATTCATTACTTCAGTTATGTGCCCTCTAGAAGCTTGCATTCTGCAAGTGAAGGTCACATTATTGTGCCATCTCAAAGAGGCACAAAATTACTTTCACTGACTTTTTCATTAACTGTTCCCTCCTGGTGGAATGACCTGCCCAAATCAATCCGAGCAGCTGAGTCCTTAACCATCTTCATGAACTGGCTAAAACACATCTCTTCCATCTTTTAGACTTGCACTCTCTTCATTGCTTCCATTGTCCTCATTTGTAAGTCGCTTTGGATAAAAGCATCTGCTAAATGTCTAAATGTAAATGTAATGTAATTTATATTTTACATATCCTATTTAAATACAAATATTAAATATTTTACTTAGTAGCTTAGTTACATAATATACTTTACTTAGTAATTTCTTTTAAAATTAGAGACCTCATTTTAAATCAGTCAGTCAGTCAATCAATAAATAACATTGGGATTTAATTTGCCCCTTCTGCCAAAACAGAGGTAATATTTATGTGTACCAAAACCATGTGACCTACATCAAATACAATCTAATGCCTCACACAGTTTGCACAATAAAAATATTGGGAAATAAATCAAACAAACAAATAAATAATAATAATAAAAACGAAACATTCAACAAGTACGTAAAATAAACAAATAAAACACAATAATAATAAAAAAAACACAATGTCAAAACAGAACAGAACAAAGCAAAACAAAACAAAACAAAAGCAAAGGCAAAGCAGAACAAAGCAAAGCAAAATAAAACAAAACAATAAACAAAGGCAAGACAAAACAAGTACAGGTAAGTCTTTTTGGGATTAAAATATATTTTTTATCAATTAAAATTCCCATTTATAAGTAAACAGTCTCCTGACTCTAAGGCTGTTTGCTGTCTTGTATACCATGGGCATTATTTATATGAATGACTATGAACCACATGCACTGACAGCCAGTGAAATCCAAAGGATTATTCAGGCCTAAAGGGGATTGAGTCAGGGGAAAGCGCATACAAACTAGTCAGCAGATCTGAATGCAGGGCACCCATATAGGACCACTACTGGATGAAAGGGGCTTTGTCTGGTGAGTAATGATTACCACAATGTTTATGAGTATTGACCAAAGCATGGACAACTTACTGTACAGATGAATGTTACAAGATTACTATTTAACATTTAATTTTACATTTAAATACACATTCACAAGTTAAAACACCACACATGATTGTTTTTATTTTCTCAGTTGAATATGTTTCAACTAAGGCCTTATTTGTAAGGCTAAGATTTTCTAAGGCTGTTTGCTGTCTTGTATACCATGGGCATTATTTATATGAATGACTATGAACCACATGCACTGACAGCCAGTGAAATCCAAAGGATTATTCAGGCCTAAAGGGGATTGAGTCAGGGGAAAGCGCATACAAACTAGTCAGCAGATCTGAATGCAGGGCACCCATATAGGACCACTACTGGATGAAAGGGGCTTTGTCTGGTGAGTAATGATTACCACAATGTTTATGAGTATTGACCAAAGCATGGACAACTTACTGTACAGATGAATGACTGTTACAAGATTACTATTTAACATTTAATTTTACATTTAAATACACATTCACAAGTTAAAACACCACACATGATTGTTTTTATTTTCTCAGTTGAATATGTTTCAACTAAGGCCTTATTTGTAAGGCTAAGATTTCTGTGGTAGTTGATGTCTTTAAGGTTTCTTGAAAGGTTCTTTATGGAATATAAGGATGACGCTAAACACAGAAGTCTCATGGAATAAAGCTTTAACAGACAACCATATCAAAGGCCTTATTGGCCGCGTACGAGGCCTCTATAATGAAGGTAAGACTTCAATGCCTTGTATTGTACCTGAGCATATCTCAGATTGCAATGATGTGACACATAAATTGATCGATGTGCTGTTTCGCTATTGGTGAAGGGGATGCGATTGAACGTGGAGCTGTTAATGTTCTGTGAGTAGGTGAAATCTTATTAAACATTGAAGTTTACCATTTTTGTTTGGGGTATTCAGATAAAGCTCACCTGGCTCTTATATGATTATAGATTTCGGTCGGTACAAAGGCTTGTGGATGTGTTTGGATGAAAACACTGTTACCTGGTCCATAAGCTGCTCCTCAAGCTGAAGAACCTGCTTTCTCTGGTCCACCGAAACACAGTGACGGTCTGCATTCTAAACATGGTCAGTTTGCAGACTATTGTCATATTTGCAGTCTCTTTTCTAAGGAGCCCCTAAAGGGACATAGTGATGGAAAATATATAATGATGGTTGGGATTTGGGTTTGTCTTGCAAACATATTGTGTTCTCCTAAAAACGCAAAACATTTACATTCTCTTGCAAAAGCATTGTTTCCCTGGAAAACTAAGCGTTTACTTGCAAAACATTAACATTTTCTTGTAAAACTATTGCGTTCCCCAGAGAAACTTTGCATTCACTAAATATGCAGTAGCTTTATCTCCCACATCATATTATTTCCATCGCAAACATTATATGAGTGAACACAAAGTTTATCAGGGGAAGGCAAACATTTTGCTAGAGAGTGCAAAAACATTGAAAACACTGCAAAATGCTAAATATAAACTAAATATACATTTACAACTATATTAGCTCTTTAACAGTGAATTTAATTCGGACTGCCTATAAAATGTGTCAGTTTTAGAATGTCTGCATAATAATACACATAATATATCATACTAATTTTACAAATAAATTATGGACAAATAAACAAGTGTGGAGACATTTTATGGAAAATGGTTTGGTATTTTTTGAAAACAACTGTACTGTTAATTCAATTTAGTATATGTAATGATAAACCTACTTTGTAATAATGCAGTTAGGTCCATATACAGTATATTTGGCCACAAGTTTTATTATTTTAGCTGCTGACCAAAACAATTTACAGTTACATAATGAATATGGGCTTAAAGTGCACACTCTGAGCTTTAATTCTCTTCAAAATTGGAGGAAAGGTTAAGGAATTACAGCTCTTTAATATGTACCTCTCCCTTTTTCAAGGGACCATAAGTAATTGGACAATTGAATCAAAAGCAGTTTCATGGGCTATTCGTTCGTTATTTCTACATCAATTAAGCAGGTAAAAGGTCTGGAGTTGATTCTAAGTGTGCATTTGCATTTGGAAGCTGTTGCTGTGAACCCACATCACGCGGTCAAAGGATCTCTCCATACAAGTGAATCAGACAATTGTTAGGCTTCAAAAACAAAATAAATCCATCAGAGAGATAGCAGGAACATTAGGAGTGGCCAAATCAACCGTTTGGTACATTCTGAGAAAAAAATAATGCACTGGTGAGCTCAGCGACATAAAAAGGCCTTTATATCATGCAATTCAGAGACAAAAAAGTCAGAATTGTGAGATAAAAAGTGGCAATAACCTTTTTTATTATAATAATTTACAATATTTTTTTATTCAGTGGCGGAAACAGGCTTCCATATAATCCTTTTCCATAATAATGTTACCAAAAAGAAATGTTTTTTTTTTATGGATAAACAGTTATCTTAAACTGTATTCATATTTAACAATAATACTGTTTACTGAGGCTTCTTTCAAAAGCATGAAAAATCATAATGACACCAAACATTTGAATTTGAACGGTAATGTGTGTGTGTGTGTGTATGTACATGTATGTATATTATATAATATAATATATGTCCTATAATGATATACATCATTTACAAATAATTTACATTCTTAGCTTTGGTTGCTCTCTTGTCATTGGAGGATAACTCTCTTTAACAAATCCTCTCCAGATAATGTACTTTGTCCTGGATGTGTCTAACTTCCTGCACTGTAAGGATGATCTCCTGCACTCATTCTGCCATGTCTTCAGTATCCCATCTGCATTTTCTCAACAGATTTGTGGATTCTGGCTTCTAGATCACGGATTAGTAACAGTGAGATGTTTTCAATATCATCACACAAATTGTATGGCATCTTATTTCATTGGTCGAAACCAATTGAGCTCTGAACATTTTTATTCCCAGGACTCAATGAATGTCTTATTGAGCCCAAGAGCTTGTCCTCCAACACTGTCATGGCACCACTGTGCTGTTCTGAAGACGTTATTGAAGACAGGAGAGAATCGAGCAGCACTGAAGTATCTGTACAGCATCACACTAGCAATGGAGAACATACATGACATCAATCTCCGTGTGGATGTGTTAATACACAACAAGTAAATCACAATCGTTCTTAGGACTCTAAGTTCTTTTGGTGCTTTTGTAACTGGCCCACATTGGAGTATACAGTTATGTTTTTTTATGTTTCAGATGTATATCTGAGGCCTGGGCTCTGATTAGAGGACTCCAAACTGAAGATGTTCAAATACGTCATTCATGTCTGTGAGAATCGTGGGATTTGTAGAAATATGTTGGCCTCTCTATGCGAGGTGATTCTAGATGCTGTAATGATTTCCTCCCTGGCATAATTGGTGAAATTATGGTATAAACAAATTTGTTCTTTGTCATCCATATTTTGTGGAAGGGTATGGCTCATCTCCAGCTGATAGAAAGCAAAAATATGGAGTCCAATGAGGCAAAAAATGCTAATGCAAGAAACAGCAGGACAACAGCCAGTAAGACCTGAAGCAGGTAAACTACAGCTGCATTAATCTCAAACATACATGTTAGCTGAAATGATATAGTCCTCATGCTCTATATAAACAATGTGATTTGATTGTGTGGGTGATTGACACTAAGGATAAACCCCCTGCCCACTGTCTGCATGGCTGTTGACTCCAGGAGATTTTGTTAAGATCCTCAGGCAGACTATTTCTGAGATATGTCCACTACCAAAGAAAAGAAGGTAAGAAACAGACTCACCTTTTAGGATCCATCCATTCATCCTGGTTTAGAAGTAGAGATACAGTATCATTCAAAAGTGTGCAGTCAATTTTTAAAACTATTTTTGTAATGTTTCATTTGACATGGCAAAGCTGAATTTTCAGCAGCTATTACTCCAGTCTTCAGTGTCACATGATCCTTCAGAATCAGAATCCTTCATTATAATATACTGATTTGCTGCTCAAGAAGCATTTATTATTATTACTATAAATTATTATTAAAATTCATAAATATTTATATCGTTTATAATTAAAATTCCAATTTTTATATACAATTATAAAAATGAAATAGAAATCTTATATTACTATGCATGCCTTTACAGTCACTTTTGATCAGTTTAATGCATCCTTGCTGAATAAAAATATGAATTTCTTAAAAATAATAATACAACTTTTGAACAGTATTATGCTGTTTGTAAAAGATGATTGGATTTACTGTTGTTTATTTTCTGCTTTTTAGAGTGGTGCTGCTGCTGCTAAAGTACAAGGAGAACAGTGTGAATAGAGCACAACTCTCATCCCAGGCCTTATGTCATTACTTTTTCTCGCAATTCTGAGTTTGCAGAATTTGTATTTTTCTCTCAATTCCGAGTTTACATCTCGCAATTCTAATTTCTTTCTCGCAATTCTGAGTTTACATTACGCAATTCTTATTTTTTTCTCTAAATTCCGAGTTTACATCTCGCAATTCTTATACCTCTTTCTCACAATTCTGAGTTTACATTATGCAGTTCTTAATTTTTCTCTTAATTCTGAGTTTACATCACACAATCATAACTTTTTTTTACATATTACAATTATGACTTTTTCCTCACAATGCTGAGTTTGCATAATGTGATCTTGACCTTTTTTTCTTGCAGTTCTGAGTTTACATCTCACAATTACAACTTTGTCTCGCAATTCTTTTTTTCCATTACAATTCTGAGTTAACCTTGCAATTTGCAATACTTGTTTCAAGCTATTTTTTTCCTCTAAATTTTTACATCTCACAATTCTGATTTATTTTCTCTCAATTTACATCTCGCAATGGTGAAAAAAAGGTATTTTGCATTCTTGCGTTCATATCTCACAATTCCGCCTTTTCTTCTCACAACTGAGTTTACACAGTATCTAGTAGTTGTGAGTTTACATCTTGCAATTCTAAGTTATATCTTGTGATGCAGAATAAAGCTTCCATACTGTTGTGATATGCTCAACATTAATAACACCTCTTTTATATAGTTATAGAGAAGATCTTACCTAGTGTGGTTTCTGGAATCATCTAACACTCCGCTGAGGCCGACGCAGTAGAAGCTACACATGCAGAGAGGAGGTGAGCCACTATTCATCTCACATCAAACTCTCTGAAAATCAGCGTTTTAAAGAACCTGGACAGATGGGTTTATAAACCAATATGAACATTAACTTTAATGAAATGCTCATCACTGGCTAGAAAAATGTGGCACATGAATGTAAACACTAGGTCGTTTTACATTACAGTTAAAATGGTCATAAAATCATGATAGACATTAATTTTGCCGTTCTGTTATGTTGGGATGATTTCATGTTACTAGAATTGTCATTCAGGTAATTTTGGGATGATTTTGTCAGTTGGTTATGGTTTGAACATTCTGTTTTGTATGTTTTATAGTACTGTATAGTCAGGCTGAAGGGTTTGCAAATGTTACTGTGAAGTGATTCCACACTGATGTTGATGTGTTATTTTGCTGTTTTAGGCTCTTGAGCACACTTAACCTTCACCCTAACTGCTACAGTAATGAGGACAATCAGTCAGTGTGCTCAATTCCCGAGATCCCGGCAGAGAGTCATAGCTTTTTATCACCCAATCATGGTGAGTCAATAACATTTATGACTGGTAGTTTTCTAATCAGTTGAGTTTTTCCTCGTAATTTAGAATCTAGTTAAAGAGGAAGTCTCGTCCCACAGGACAGGTTAATCACAGAAGAGATAACATCGGAATCGTTTCCCCTTTGACAGCAGTGAGGTTAAATTGAGCGCTGAATTGATTTTTATTTTTTTTATTTTTTTTAGACATCCAGAATCTGAGATTTTTTTATGATTTCATGTTACTAGAATTGTCATTCAGGTAATTTTGGGATGATTTTGTCAGTTGGTTATGGTTTGAACATTCTGTTTTGTATGTTTTATAGTACTGTATAGTCAGGCTGAAGGGTTTGCAAATGTTACTGTGAAGTGATTCCACACTGATGTTGATGTGTTATTTTGCTGTTTTAGGCTCTTGAGCACACTTAACCTTCACCCTAACTGCTACAGTAATGAGGACAATCAGTCAGTGTGCTCAATTCCCGAGATCCCGGCAGAGAGTCATAGCTTTTTATCACCCAATCATGGTGAGTCAATAACATTTATGACTGGTAGTTTTCTAATCAGTTGAGTTTTTCCTCGTAATTTAGAATCTAGTTAAAGAGGAAGTCTCGTCCCACAGGACAGGTTAATCACAGAAGAGATAACATCGGAATCGTTTCCCCTTTGACAGCAGTGAGGTTAAATTGAGCGCTGAATTGATTTTTATTTATTTTATTTTTTTTAGATATCCAGAATCTGAGATTTTTTTCCCCCGTGAGTTTCTACCCCTCAAAGTCTAAATAATACATGATTAAAATCCAAAGTTGTATCTGCTAACATTACTTAATGGAAGTGAGTAAACATTAACTAATAATGAACAGTTGATGAACTTTAACATATATTAATAAATACTGTGTTGCTCAATGATAGTTCATGCATTAACTAATGTGACCTTATTGTAAAGTGGTACCAGTTATTTGTCTTTAGTTATTTTATTCTTCCTCTTCTATCTGAGACAAAATATACTGATGCTTAATACTGAAAAAAACATATATAGTAACTCAGCTACAGTAAAGAACGACCTTTAAGCAACACGGTTGTCCTTTAGGATTGTTTACTACATGTGCTTACACTAAGTATGTGGGATGACACTGATCACACTTTTTTTCAGAGACGTTTACTTACTGTAAAACAGTGGAGGATGCTGTTAGCGTCAAGCCCAAGAATCTGACTGAAGCTGAAGAGTGGATCATTTCACCCTGTGAGCCAAAAAACGGAGTTTCTTCGTCTGCTGGATTCTGAGGCGTCAGGAACATCCAGCTTTCTGCAGCTGAAGCCTTTAAGGGTGAGTGAAGTCTTATTGACCATATTGCAGATTTTTGTTTGAGGTTTAGATTGCTAATTTCCCATCTAACCCCTCAGATTGTAAATACAGTATGCATTGATGGCAGACCTTATATATTGTTATTGTTATATATTGTAATAAAAAAACAACAAACAAATGTACTCATAAAAATCTGACCGTGTATTGCAGCATCAGTAATGCGAATTGGATCAGGTGCATAAAAAATTATTTATGTATTTATTTATTTCTGTTAAAATGTTTCATTTATCGATTGATTGGTTGGTTGAGTGACTGACTGATTGTATTCTTAAAATATGATATTTGTATGTGATGATATAAAGACAATATGATATTGTTATAAATATATATTATGAATAGTATTCATAAAATTCTGCAGCATCAATAAACGTGATTTGGATTGAGTTATAAAAAATATTAATTCGTCAGTTTGTTAATTTAATATGAACATCCGTTTTAGTAGTGTTTCTGAAATATCCCGAAAAGTAGAATGAATTAAAATGAATTGCAACATGTATTGCAGCATTAACAAATGTGATTTGGATTGATTAATTGGCTAGTTGATTTAATTTAGTAATTTGTTTATTCAATATGAACACCAGGTTTCATGAAATGCTTATTTATTTATTTACTCATTCATTCATTGCTAATATTCTTAAAATGTTCTTAATTGTGATATTCTTATTCATAAAATGGCATTCATAAAGGTATTCATAAAACATGGCGATGTATTTCAACTGGGCTGCTTACTGCTTTAGAGCAGGTCTCTCCTGTCACACGAGGTAAGACATGTATTGTGGCCTACAGAGTATCAAACCTTATAATATTTACAATAAGATTGATAGCTCACACTGTTGAAAAAAAAATGACAAAAAGTATTTAGATACTTTTAGTTGTGAAATTTTAGTGGAACATTCAATGCTATTGTGATGAGAAAAATTTTATAAATATAAATAAAATAAATCAATAATAAAAAAAAAGTTTAAAGATTGACCAATATATAGAACTACGTAAACTGTTCATATAATTCATGTTTAAAAATGTAGGCAAATGTAACAATCAATAAACAATGGTTGCTATTAGTTGTCCAACTTTACAATGCTTTTAATTCAACTAACACATGTTTTAAGAAAAGGAATAGGCTGATGCTTTTCAAAAAAAGTTGCATTTAAACTTGAAATATAAAATTAATCGTTATTAAAGCAGCACTATGTAACTTTTTCTGTGTTCAAAATTTGCAACATGTGTATAATGAGCGAGTACATCATGAATTCATCTTCCAAAACACGTTGTTGTCTTTTTTTTAATTTAACTTTTAAATTAAGTTTTTTAATTGACAGTACATTCCCCCTTTTATTTTCAAGTGGTACTCCCTGTCCTTGATATTCTCTGGTCCATGTGGATAAATCAATCCACTGATTTAATAACCAATCCTCTTAGCTTCCTCTACAGGAAAACGGACATCCCCTGTCCCACGACATTCCCAACCGCATGGCCTTGGAAGCTTCTTAGATCCTCCATCCAATCCAAGAGTGGAAAAACGAGAGGTCAAACAGGTGTGACATGCATATTTACCTATGATTTGTTTAAATGAATATATAGAGTACAGCCTAGACTTCTGACCACACGGCAGCAGTATTGCATCAGGAAAGTGAGCTGACTTGTGCATTGCAGGTGTGTATTGCATAATCATTTCAGCACCATCAATTGATTTCTAAAAGCCGCCCCTTGTAATTTAGAATGCTAAAAATGGACACATGGAGGCTTTTCACAAGAACTTGGTCTAAATGGTTTGCTGCTGTACAAACAGTGAACGTTGGTGAGTTTTACTAATCAGTTTCACAATCTCATCTTATTTAATGCAATTAATATATCATGCTCTGTGGTTATTATGCAGCTTCTAACATGCTCTCAGTTTCTGTAAAAGTCAGTAATTTATTCTACATAATCAGTCCACAAAGGGGCATTTTTGATACAGTATATGACTTCTCAGTATTTCAGTGACCATACAATGGTTCCATCATTAATTGTGGCTAAGCCAGCATGTGTATCTCATTTATTCAAGTACTATGATATTTGTTCTTCTTGGAACTGTTAAGTGAATACATATGAAGGTTATGCCGAATAATGTATAACCTTTTTTCTTCCAACTGGACCATTTTCTGTTGTGACAAATGAGAATGGCACCCCTAGAGGACGCAGTTCGAAGTTCCCATGAAAGGGAACCTCTGTCATAGACATTTCATTATAGCCTTAATCAGCTGCTTTTATCCTATTACTGCATGTACGGGGATATTGATTCTCTCAGTCTATCCACATAATTTTACATTTTAAACAGCCACATTATTTTATTTTATTCATGTAATTTAATTGAATGCTTTTTTGTGTTCAGGCTGTGAAGGGTGAATTCTTAGGCCA